CATAACTGCGCATGCGTGCTAAAACGTTTGCTAGGTGCCTCATTTTGTTTATTGGAATTTTAATGATGTTGGTGGCGTTTAAAATAATTATTTTCACCATTGCATCTTACTCAGCTTCCAGTAGAACAACGTCTACCATCATGAGTCTGTCTCTACTAAGTCTTATTGTATTTGTGTGTCTGGCGGAGGTACAGTCACACGATGTTCCCTACCTCACCTTCCAAGGAATGTTTATAGCTAATCATTCCTATGTGAATGCCAGTCTCCTGGGAATGACTGGAGATACTAGTATCAGGTGCCACACAGATCTGGGCACATGCTGTCAAGGCACTCCAGATCGTGGATACTGGTACTTTCCAAATGGAAGTACTGTACAAAATCTCGGCAATTCCCAGAGTGTATACACTCTTAGCGGTATCCAGATATTTCAGCTACGTCGTCGAAGTGAACCTCTGTCAACATCAGCAGAAGGCATCTATTGCTGCGAAGTCCCCACCTTTACATCAGAGAGTGAGAGGGCCTATGTTGGGCTTTACTCTAGGGAAGGAGGTAGGAGTTGATATTAAGTGGCGAATCTTTTAATAATGTTTTCTCTTGCAGGGAACATTACTGTATCCGGTAATGTCAGAATGACTGTGAACTCTGACCTCAATGGACCCAGTCCTCGGTTCATCCTGACCTGTATCTCCACTGGAGGACCTGCTACCACTGTCACTTGGACCAGAGACTCAACCACTGTCAGTGAAGGAACTGCCACTATGCTGGAGAACCTTATGACTTCACAATACACTCACACTCTTAATGTGACTGGGAGACTGGGAGGACTGTATACCTGCACAGTTCAAAATAATAAGCCGTCCATGGATTCGGCTCAAATCACTGTGCAAGGTAGCTAAATGGCAACCTTCAATCACAACAGTGAACACAAAAGTATCGGTATATATGTACAATATTATACCTTCAACCACATTTAGATGCTACAGCTCCAGAAGGCATAACATCAGGCCAGGAAGGCCCCTCTACTGTAATGTTATCATGGAGTCCCTCCAGTGATGCCACTGGCTACAGGATACACTACGACAGTAGTGGAGGAGACAGTGGCAGTGAAGATATCAGTGATGGCTCCACTGGACAGCCACACCCTACTGGCCTTCGGCATGGAGAAACCTACAGCATATCCATTTTTGCAACCTCTATGCCCCTGCCTAGCGAGACCACTAACACCAACGATATAGACTTGGTAGAGCTATTAGCTAACCGTCGCTGTCCAACAGATCTGGCTGCCATTTCCACCTTTAGTAACATTCCAGCGAATCGCCAGTCATCAATATGGATGCAATCCGACAACGCCCACCACTGATCTCATATTCGGACCATCCCACCGACGTGAGTTAACTCAGAGCCCGCCGACGTCGGAGACAAGCTGTCGATTGGACTAGTTGTCATATGGTGCAGGAGCGGACAACATTGGAGCCAGTGGCCCAGACTCTCAACGATACCAACAGCTGTAGAATGAGGATCTAAAGAGTGGTACTAGTTATACCATCCACCTCACAGTCTCCAACCCAGCTGGGGAACTCTTCGGTTGAACTCACTCAGTCTACCAACAAAGCAGGTGAGCATGCAGCGTGAATTTGGCTAGTGTTACTTTCTCTCCAATTTGCTGGGGCCAGAGCAAAGCAGTGAGTCGTCATTAGCCACTATTGCTGGAAGTGTGGCAGCAGCTGTGATTATTGTTCTACTGGTGGCTGTGATCCTGCCTCTGGTGTTGTTGATCACAAGAAAATACAGGGGGAAAGCCAGTGCTCCATCTACAAGGTAAGGAATTTTACAATTGTCACCTTTGTTGTTATTTTAGCAGCAGGTGTGTGGATGTATCAAGTGCTACACCAATGAGTTCCGTGTATATGTCGAGGAATCTGAATGCTCCGAGTGTGATGAGTTCCAACGCTGCCTACGATACAGCAGTTGATGAAGAAGCAGTTACTGTTGAGCATAGTTATGAGACAGTCCCTTAACCTCAGTCTCCTCTTTCTATGTTTTTTAGTATAGCTATATCACACAGATGCTCTACTAAAAGTTATTATAACAAATTGAAGCACTTGGTGTGAGATTATGTTTCAATGTTTACACTCTTTGAGGGGGATGCCAGAATACTATAGCTTCCCACATGTATAAACATTAATAGACACAAAGCTGTTCAGTTGAAAGTAACAGAGGTTCAACCATGTATATAGCTAGTCGACATCTGACCTTCCACCCTATTCTAAGTTCATCATAGTTTCTGGCCACCTGATGCGGTTTTTTACTGTTGTCCAAGCCTATATAGTGGCAGGCAATGGGAAGTGAACATGGTTTTCATATCAGATTGCATACAGTTATAACAAGAGTGTTGGTATAAACCTATTTTCGACAAAATCACATTATTATGCACATTAAAAACGTACCATAATACATATTGGACGGCCATAACTTTTGTTTCAGAGGAAGGGTATGTGGCAGTACGTATGGGCTATTTAGTTCTATCTTTAGTAACTTTTCTAAATTTAGCCCTTACGTACTGACACATTCCCTGACTCAATCCACTATTTTCCCATAGTGTGTACATAGCTACACACTGAATGGGCCGTTTTCTCGTGCCATGGAAGGTCAATTGTCAAGCATGCATAATTTGAGATAAACAGGTTTATTGTTGAATTGCACAGCAATAGAAAACAATAGAACTACTATGCTGTAGTTGTCCGAGTCATAATGTACGTGAGAAAAACATACACAAGAGACAGAACAAAGAGCAGTATCTTTGTGACCAGAGTAAAGACATAGGGGAAGCAGAACATGGAGACCCAGCATATAGCTATGATGAGTCCAAACAGGGGCAGGAATAGCTGGGAGATATCCAACATCTGCCCAGGTGGCTGGGGACCAATGTTCTGGTTTTCCTGGCCATTGAGGGGTCTCGGTCTCCCTATGTGTACGTGAATGGCATGGTGAGCACCTACACCCAACTCCTGTAGAGTTTGGGCATCGTTCTCCAGGACCCTTCCCTGGTAGATGAACCGAATTGGTCTCCGCTCAGAAAGCTGCTCCTGGAAGTGCATCCTAAAAGACAAACAAGTAATGCTAAATCATTTTAACCCTCAGCAAACATTACCATAATAAACAGCATGACACACGTGAAAAGACTAAATGAGTGGAAACCTAGTGTCACTTGTATAACCTTCTCAAATCTCCAAGTGTTGTGCTGCGCTGAGCATTGATATTAATGGTCGAGTTGTTGGGCAGAATGAGTCGAATGCAGAGAGACTCGTCGCCTTCTCCCTCATCTGATTGTGGCTGGGGAAACCTGGCTCTTACTGTAGTCTCCCCACTCTGCTGCTGCCTGGGTGGATCAGAAGACAACTCCTCTCCAACGTGCCTTTCCAATACACTCTCCCCTTCATCGTCTACGGCAGTGGCTGGATGGCTAATAGCATGATTTAGAAGGCCCTACACATGTTGTAGTTGCCTCTCTTGCAGTATCTGCACTCCCAGCACGGAACAATGTTCTCAGATATAGCATGATCACCAACTTCAAGACCATATTTCTCTCCAGCTCCTTAATGGATAAACTCAAACTAAGTGAGACTGAATATAATATGGGCATAGCTACCTGGGCCTAGCTCTACAACTTCTCCAACAAACTCGTGTCCAGGTATGATTGGAGGCTCTACATATCTTGGATGACCTTTCTCTTTATCCCCTAAAATATTGACAGATTTGACACCAGGTTATTGAAATAAAATCTCTATCCCGTTTTCAAACTCCAAACACATTCCCTCTGCTCTAAAGAATTCCAGTAACATACATGCCCATGTGAAATACTGAACTATTGCATGTCTCCATTGTCTGCTGGCAAATGAGTTCTTTCGGAGTGTATAAAGGGGATTAAATTTAATTTCAAGGGGTGCTTACCCCAAGCTCCATGAAATTATACTAGAAAATAGCAACTCTTCTAAAGATCTCAGCAAAAAATGGGAATCCAAACAATCCCACAATAAGGCGACAAAACATCTCACCCCAGAAGTAAGGTGCTCCAGCGTAGCACTTGGCATCTCCAGCACATAGCTATGCCCACGGAGAGGACCTTGACCAGCACCTCCCCCTGGCTTATCTCAGGGACTGGTCGGTCCGGTAATCTCTCTCCTATCAATTTTGAGTAGCTCAGTATCACAATAATTATCTCTCTGTCTCAACTACGGGATCACGGCTTGAAAAAATTACCTGCGGCATGACAAATGACGCGATACACTGTACCATCCATGCGCGGTTTACGCGCCGCCACACTACACGGCAGCAAGATGAATCTTCCCCTGAGAGACCTGTTCCCTACAGACAGCGCTATTATTTAGCTGTGTTTAACATGTGTGAACTACTTTTGGAGTCATTTCCCATACAGTTTGCACAAACTACACATTGCAAAGACACACACAAAAGAATAGTGTATGCACAAGATGTGATCTTCATGACATTATATGAAACACACACATGCACACATCTTCTATTATGAGTGTTATTAATGCACATGTATCAGACACTGCAGCTAAACTATTTTGTCCATGCAATGCGACGTCCTCCATCGTCGAGGAATTCCAAAACGGGCTCTCTCAGTTGAGGTGAAGAAGGCTCCTGCATCTGCCCTTCGTCCGGAGCAGCAATCATATCCTGGAGTGTCATTGTGGTTCTCTGTGTCTGACAAGTTGACTCGAGGTCAGAATGTCCAGTTGAGTACTTCTCCCCACCCTCTGATCCTCCAGTGGCCCCCTCATCATCTGCACCGCCACTTTCTTCTCTTTCGATCTTGCCCATCTTCTCCAGAATCACTCTTCCTTTCCCAAGTTTTAGGGCCTGGGCTACATTATCCCCACTCCCAACGCCCTACCTATGACTCTCATGTTGTTATGGAGCTTCCTCATCGCGTGCGATACTATGATGCCAATGTTTGTCAGGAAAGCAACACTCAGGGAGATATTTACCAAGATCTCCTGATTGCCAAACCTATTTTCACTCTGGATGGTGTAAGATGCTCCGAGGGTGATAGCAATAAGGTTGAGGAGGAAGGAAAAGTCAAGGATGGCCACAGCAATGTTCTTGAATGGACGTACATAGGCCTGAATGCAGGTGAATCCAATTAGAAAGCTCAGTTCGAGGGTGAGAGAGAATGTAGGGTTGCCCGTGCCACGGTTGGCAATGATGATGTAGATGATGGAGATGAGGATGAGTCGTGCTCCAAACCAGAATCGCAGTTGTTTCTGTATGGAGCAAAGCTTGCATCAAAGAGGGCATTAAGTCGAGTGGAATTCACACACTGCTGAATGTGGGTGGAGAATGTGAATAACACCATGTAGGGGCAGAATAAAGCCAACTAGTGTGAGAGATCCCAGAATAATGAGGGAGACAGAGATAGGGTCACTGATATCCTGAGTCCCGTAAAAAACCATACAATTATATCACCTTCACCTTCAGAGAAGATAATAACAAAGGTAAAGGTGTCAATCACAGTGCAAAACAGTTTCAGGAAGGAGATGTAGAGCATGCTCACGAGGATGTGAATGCCATCAAGTTGAGAGATGATTCGCTGCATTCTGAGTGAGCGCTGGCTGACTGCGATTATGACAACTATCATGATTATGATGTAGGTAGCGAAAACATACTGAAGACCTGCTTTGGCCGACTCTGTCATGCCATCATAGAAACACAGTGGAAATCCAACGTCTAGGTTGACCCATGACAGAAACCAGGAGAGAAATCCCCTCTGGTTCCCCTGAAAGAAGATGTTGGCATTGACCATCACAATGTTGGACTAAAAGAAGAGGCCATTAATAAGTCCATGGGTGATACTGATATCAAGAAGGAAGGTAATGATTACCATTAGAACTCCTACCAGTGCAAATATGATAAGAGAAGATAGCCAGTTATTAGAGAATTTCCGGCATTCAGCTGTGCCAAAGACAGAACTGAGACCTTCCCTGCAGGCACCACAGAGAGTGCCTGCAGAGCTGATCGGACACCCTCAGATCAATATTAGACACGTCTTCCCTGCAATAGTTTGATTGGGCAGGTTGCAACAAACTGAATTATTTGACCACCATTGTACTTAGGACTGCTGGCCCATCCAGAAGTTGGTGGGTCGAGCTATCGTGTACTCAGTGAGGTTACAAGTCGACTCCAATCTTTGTCTTGATGAAGTCACTACACAAACACATTTGCCAAGTGCTACCAGAAGAACCCAGGAGAAATCTGGGGGGACAAGCAGTTGTCATTACTTCAACCGTCACCTTTTGCCCACCTATGGTAGCATAGAGATCAACAAAGAGTGTGATAATCTCAGGAGCAAAGACCCTGAACTCCACACGACTGCATGTAGTGAACCCAGGGAGCCTTCTGACTTCTTGGTTGACATCAAGTTGCACTTGATCTGACAAGCCAGCAGATCGAGGGAATGAGTAGAGAAATGAGGCAACAGGAGTCCCAACAACATCTACAGAGTTCAGATATGAGTAAAAGGTGCTTCCTGGTGTAATTGGTTGATCCAGTATGTGATGAAGGTTAGCACAGTATGTACTAGAAAATGTTGTGTCCAAGCAGATACATACAACTTGCTCAACTGAGTTGAGCTCTGACAGTTGATTTCCAACCCTCTCTTGGAACTGAAAAACTGTGTGGTAGAGAATTGCTTGCCGAGCATCTGTTACATTAGCGTGGTCTATAGAGGTGGTGGGAATGAACAGACAGTAGTAAAGTGGGTTTCCAAAGATAGAGTTTCCAGCAACCTGAGCACTGTTGTTAGAAAAGACAATGGAGAGTTTCAGAAGTTGTAAATCTCCATGGGTAATTGGAACCCGTTTCTCTGCAAAGAATTGTATGGCACATGTAACGGTGACTGATGACCCAAGAGTGTTAGCATAAATGGCACCTCCTTCACGGAATGCTTTGTTCTTGTGAAGCTAACGTTAGAGCTGTTGTGAATGAAGAGAATAGAGCTGTCAATCAAACTAAGAGCACCACCTCTACAACCGTGATTATCCTCAAACTTTATGAATCCACGGAGGATCACGCTTGTCCTCACTGCAGTGAAAACGCTCACATCGTTTCTAATGAAATGGCATCCTTTTCTCTCGGTCCCAACTAGTGTGATATTTGAGCCATGACTTACAAGAAAAACTCCAGAGTTCTCTCGAGAATTTTCCAAAACATCGGCTCCGGGGTAGGTATTCCCTGAGGCTGATATGTCCTCCATGTAAATGTAGACCCCTCTGCTATTGACTAGTGATTGAAATTGAAAGGCATAAAGAGCTGAACCAATACTAGCAAGGTTGTCTGTGAACGTTGTGTTTCTGATTAACATTCGCACATTAGAGACATTCTGTGGTGTCATGTAGAACATTAGTGCTCCTCCAAAAAAAGCCGAGTTTCGACTGAAGTTTGAGTGGCTTATCTCTACCAGGTCATAGATATCACCCTGCGATTGTGGGAGGGAATCGAGTGCGTCAAAGAATAGCACCACTAGGACAGTCAATCCTGCACCTCTACTTGTTTCTACAATTCCCTGTACTTTATTGTCACTGACAGTCACCCTCTCCAGCCGTGTTGTGCTAATATTAATTGTATTGTAGTGCATCACGTATTAGTTAACGTATAGGCGGCGAGGCGGTACAGGAGATACTCCGAGGCTGTTGACTATACCGGACGAGGGCGTAGCCTGAGGCGCGGTATAGTTAACAGCCGAGGAGGATTTCCTGTACCCGCCAAGACGCCTGACGTTAACTGATTTGTAGTCCAACTAGCCAATCACAATGCTGAATTTCTGCTGTGTCATCTGACTGTTGTGTAAACTTTGGAAGCCAGACAATTTGCACTACGCCTAGCGCTAGATGTTGTGATAAGGACTTCCTGTCCAATACTGATACCGGTGCAGCCCGCAGCCCACAGCTCAGAATACAGCGTATATTCCTAGCACCGGGTTGTTTGAAGTTGGACTACAAAGCAAAATTGGCAACATTTCCTGTATTTGAAAGGATGCTGGTATCACTGATTTTCACATCAACAAAGTATGATCTCTGGCCCATGTATACAACAAATGAGAGTCCTCCTGTCAGTCATATGCCACAATTAGACTGTTCAGCAGGTCAAGGAGATGCATTGCAGGTATCCAATTAGTGTTGTTAACAAAGGAGCAGTTAATCATGTAGAGAGAGGCTTTGTAATTACCACTCAATTTCACCAGGTCTTCTGCACTATCCATGTCACTAAAGATGACTGCAACACCACTACCTCCACAGAGCATATCGCTCCTTGCCAAAGGCTGAGGCTGTGTACATCCACCGAGGCCCAGGCTATTGGTTCCTGAAACCGATAGTCCTCTAATGACTGTATGTCTCAGGGGATTTATGAATAGTAAACCAAACCCAAAGCATCTTTCTACTCTAAGACTC